TCCTGTCTCCCGTCCACGCGTGCTCGAGATGTGACAGACGCCTGGTAGTATTAGCACGCCGTCCTGCAGCACGCCCTGATGGGATGCTGGTCCTGCTCCACTTCTACACATGTCTGCCCTTGGCCTAAGAGCGCCCCAAGACGGCGTAAGAAGCCTCCAAGACAGCCCAGAGGGCCCCAAGCCGGTCCCAGAGGGGGCCCAAGAGAGGGAACACGAAACAAAAATCCTAGCCGTTCGGCCCAAGAGGCCCACAGGAGGCCAAGACAGGCGCCCAAGAGGCCCCAAGAGGCCCCCAAGAGACCTCCTAAGAAGCCCCATGAGGCCCCCAAGAGGCCCAAAAGAGGCCCCCAGAAGGCCCCAGAACGACACCCAAGAGGTATCAAAACTGCCTCCAAGAGGCCCCCTGACAGGCCTCCCACGAGATCCCAACGAACATCGAATAGGCATATAACCCACACCCCAGGCACGGTGGCGGGACTTGCCATAAGCAGCTGGATCCGCCGCCCCCTGCTTGCAGGGGTGCACGGCGTGCTGGACGAGCTGTTAGGTTTTGGTTTTGGTTCTTTTTCCAAAAGAACTCCCCGGTGGGCTCCGGCAGAACCCGCCACCGTGCGCAAAAACGGCCGTTTCGCTCGGGACATCCTCAAAAAATCGCGAAGATGGCCCAAGATGGCCTCCAAGTCCGCCCGAGATGGTCCAAGACGGCCTCCAAAACGGCCCAAGAGAGTCCAAGACGGCCCAAGACGGCCCAAGAGGCCCCCCAGAGGCCTCCCAGACGGCCCAAGAGGCCTCCAAGAGGTCCTCCAGGAGAGTCCGAAGAGGGCAAAATCATTGATTTTCCATTGGTTTTTGAAGGATTTTGGCATTTGCGCCTTTTCGGCTCTCCGACGGCTCAAGACGGCCCAAGAAGCCCCCAAGATCGCCCAAGAGGCCCCCAAGAGAGCCCCCTGATGGCCCAAGTGGCCTCCAAGATGGCCCCTAGAGGGCCCCAAGACGGCCCAAGAGGCCTCCAACACGCCCAAGATGGCCTCCAAGACGCCCAAGATGGCCTCCAAGACGGCCCTGGAGCGCCCCAAGAGGGTCCCCCGTTGGCCCAGACAGGCCCCCAAAACGGCTCCCGACGGCGTCAGACGTGCCAGGAACCCACCAAGATGGCCGAAGTTGGCTCGAAGCTGGCCCAAAAGGGCCCAAGAGGCCCCCAAGAGGGCCTCCAGGAAGGCCAAAAGATGCCAAAATCACTGATTTTCCCAAGGTTTTTGATGGATTTGGGCATTTCCCTTCTTTCGGCCTTCCGACGGCCCGAGACGGCCCAAGAGCCCCCAAAGATCGCCGAAAGATCGCCCAAGAGGCCTCCAAGACGACGACGATGACCATCAAGACGCCCACGTGTTCCCCGAAGGCTTTCCAAACCGATTCGGGGAACACATGGTCCGATGGCTTGGCAGGTCTGGCCTCAACGTTCGGCCACATAGGCGCTTCCACAAAGGCAGGGGGCGGCGGTGATTCGCCGTAGGCGTCTTCGATCCGCCGCCCCCTGCTTGCAGGGGTGCACGGCGTGCTGGACGTTTCAGGTTTTGGTTTTGGTTCTTTTTCCAAAAGAACTCCCCAGTGGGCTCCGGCAGAACCCGCCGGCCACCCGGAAAGCCCCCAAACGTGCTCAACGACCAGAAAAAATCCTACACAAAACGGCCGTTTCGCTCGGGACATCCTCAAAAAATCGCGAAGATGGCCCAAGATGGCCTCCAAGTCCGCCCGAGATGGTCCAAGACGGCCTCCAAAATGGCCCAAGAGAGTCCAAGACGGCCCAAGACGGCCCAAGAGGCCCCCCAGAGGCCTCCCAGACGGCCCAAGAGGCCTCCAAGAGGTCCTCCAGGAGAGTCCGAAGAGGCCAAAATCATTGTTTTTTCCTTGGTTTTTGAAGGATTCTGGCATTTGCGCCTTTTCGGCTCTCCGACGGCTCGAGACGGCCCAAGAAGCCCCCAAGATCGCCCAAGAGGCCCCCAAGAGAGCCCCATGATGGCCCAAGTGGCCTCCAAGATGGCCCCTAGAGGGCCCCAAGAGGGCCCAAGAGGCCTCCAACACGCCCAAGATGGCCTCCCAGACGCCCAAGATGGCCTCCAAGACGGCCCTGGAGCATTCCAAGCGGGCCCCAAGTCGGCCCATAGAGGCCCCCCAAACGGCTTCCGACGGCTTCAGACGTGCCAGGAACCCACCAAGATGGCCGAAGTTGGCTCGAAGCTGGCCCGAGACGGCCCAAAAAGCCCCAAAGATCGCCCAAAGCTTGCCCAAGAGGCCTCCAAGACGGCCAAGATGACCTTCAAGATGCCCACGTGTTCCCCGAAGGCTTTCCAAACCGATTCGGGGAACACGTGGTCCGATAGCTTGGCAGGTCTGGCCTCAACGTTCGGCCACATGGGCGCTTCCAAAAAGGCAGGGGGCGGCGGTGATTCGCCGTAGGCGTCTTCGATACGCAGGACGTTAACTGGCAAGCCAAGTACAAGCAAAACCTAGAGGCCGGCTACACTGAACCTACAGACGAGCAATAATCATTTCTTTGGGTGAAAGAGAAGATCAAGAAGCTCGCAAGCCATGAAGAAGCGAAAATCTTGTTGGTGCAAACTTAAGTTTTGGGGCGAGCTCGAGGCAATGCAGGCGTGGTAATGTATATGTACGCCAAACAGGACAAGCTAAAGGCAGCATTGGGACAAGGGAAAACAATACGAAGCAAACTATCGGAAATTCCAGGCAAGGCAAGGCAAGACAAGCAACTCAAGGCAAGTAATTAGACCAAGTCTAACTCTAACTGGAGATGAACAGTAGCATTCCCCCCCCACCACACAAAAAAAGAACCAAAAGCGAAGCGCGCGCTGACATGGACGGTGGCGGGTGTTGGTGAAGAAGAGGGCAAAGGTCTCCGCGATGGAAACCATAATAGAACTTGAGGCTGCGTCGCGGTCCCAGGTCTAAACCATTGCTGCCTACGAGGTCTGCCGCCTTAAATGAAAGGCCCCTGGTCTCATATCCTCGCGCGAGCCCTGGACCATCGTCAATCCGCCGATCCGGCGTGTGAGTTTCTGAGAGCGTGGGCTCGAGCTCGCTCAAGCTTCGCTCTGTAGGGGTCGGGGGGGGACGCAAACGACGAAAACCGACGAAAGAATTGACACGCGAGGGGAGGGGGGGAAGAGGGGGGGGGGGGCTCGCTCAAGCTTCGCTGTGCGGGGCGGGGGGGATGCCAACGACGAAAGAACTGACACGCGAGAGGGGGGGAAAAGGGGAGAGGGGGGGGAGGGACAGGGAGAGAGGGGGTGGGGGGACATGAGAGAGGGGGGGAAAGAGAGAGGGGGGGGGGCGGGGAGAGGAGGGGTGGACAGAGAAGGAGGGGGGGGGGACAGGAGAGAGGGGGCCAGGGGGACATGGAGAAAGGAGATAGGGGGGGGGTGGACAGGACAGAAGAGGGGATAGGGGACAAGATAGAAGGGAACGAGGGGGGGGAAAGGAGAGGGGGGGTGGGACAGAGAGGGGGGGGGGAGGGACAGGCAGAGGGGGGGAGGGGGGGCAGACAGGAAGAGGAAGGGGGGGAGAGGGGGGGGGGACAAGAGAGAGGGGGAGGGGGGAAGCAGGAGAGAGAGGGAGGGGGGTAGTGAAAGGAGAGAGGGGGGGGGACAGGAGAGCGGGGGAGGGGGGATCATCACCATCTCAATCACAATCACAATCACCATCATCACCATCATCATCATCACCATCATCATCATCATCATCATCATCATCATCATCATCATCATCATCATCAGCATCATCATCATCATCATCATCATCATCATCATCATCATCATCATCATCATATCATTATCATCACATCATCATCATCAGCAGCAGCACAGCAGCATCTCATCAATCATCATCATCATCATCAGCATCATCAATCATCATCATCATCATCAATCATCACATCATCAATCACGTCATCATCATGAAGAATCATCTGCAGCTTATCATCAGCACAGCACATCAACATCATCAGCATCACAACATCACCACCACCACCATCATCATCATCATCACCACCACCACCACCATCACCACCACCACCACCATCATCATCATCATCATCATCAGCAGCAGCACATCATGAGCAGCATCCACATCATCATCATCATCACATCATCATCAACGCATCATCATCAGCAGCATCATCATCATCAGCACAGCAACAGCACTCATCATCAACAACATCATCATCATCATCAGCATCAGCATCATCGTCATCATCAGCCATCATCATCATCATCATCATCATCATCATCATCATCATCACTATCATCATCATCATCATCATCATCATCATCATCATCATCATCATCATCATCATCAGCCGTCATCATCATCATCATCATCATCATCATCATCATTATCATCAGCATCATCATCATCAGCATCATCAGAATCATCATCATCAGCATCATCATCGTCATCATCATCATCATCATCATTAGTATCATCATCATGATCAGCATCATCACCATTATCATCATCATCGTCACATCATCACCATCTTCATCATCATCAGAATCACCATCGTCATCGTCATCGTCATCGTCATCGTCATCATCATCATCATCATCATCATCATCATCATCCAGAGTGTCCCGGATCGGCGGCACTGGCCGCAGGCCACTACAATATCCGAAAACGCAAGACCCCTCATCAAAACAAAGCAGACCCCCTGCGAAGAGCACATTGCCTTGCTCTCCAGCCATCACCGCTTCCCCCAGAGTCCCGCAAGCTTGTGCACGCGTCCACCCACCATCCCTCCTGACGAAGAGGACCGAACAAACCCATAAACACCAGCTCTCGGCACGGATTGTTTGTGTCGTCGCTGGACACCCCTGGCGGCGCCACCGTCGCCGCCCCTGGCGCACCTGGCGCGCCAGGGAGGCCACCTTGGGCCACCCACCCCCTCTGCGGCCGGACCTGGGACAGAAGAGCATCCATCCTTCAAG